TTTATATATATAAATATATATATATATATTTTATTTTATATTTTATATTTTTTGTTATATTAACATTTTTGTACTTATTTAAGACCGAAAAATACAAAAACTTGCAAGTGTCTTCACAACAATCTTTTTTGTTTGCTCACGCATTTGTGCAAATTTAAAATGTGTGTTAATTTGTTGTAAATTTTTCAAAAAAAAAAACGTATTTTATTACCTTGTGTTCTTTAATCCATTCTTCGAAACTACTCTCGGGCAGGTAGTACGCCTTGATATACAATTCAACGTACTCTCTGTGCGGCATAGGTCTCAACAATGTTATTTTCTCGAACTTTGATCTCAGTTGTGTGAAATCGAGTTGCATCAGAGCTCTACCGCCGTTTGAACACTTTTTAGCATTGGAAAATCTAGATAGAAGCAATATTGAAAATGTTTTATCAATTCGTGTCAAAATTTAATTGGTTTAATAATATCATTAAAAAAAAATACCCTTCTACTAAGGTATGTGTGATTAGATGAGCCACGTTTTCCCACACAGCACCGCACACGTCCGCACTCAAAGGAATGTACGTCCCGATAGTATTAAGTCTTTCGTTCAAGACGCATACTTGCTACAAAAAACAAATGTCAAATTAATCGATTTTTTTTTAATTTTTATTTCAACCAAATGGCATCATCTCGCTTGTGAACGAATAACCCTAACCACATACTTGAATCAATGCGTCGATGTAACCGCTATGCTGCGACATTACGTCCGTCACTTCCCAATTAACTTTGTTCATTAAATTGAGAACGTTCGCAACGTCGAACGCTTGGGACGCAACCGCCATGTAAACCGGTTTTCTCAGATCCGCGGCGGACGCTATTGTTTGCATATAAAACTGATGTAAAAATCCTCTCTGAGGACTATTGACAATGAGATGTTCTAAATAAGGCCTTAGGCCTTCGTATTGTTGTCCTAAAAATATCAGAGACTCGACAGCTACTATACGTTCCGTTAATCCGTAAAGTTTTTCAGGTTGCGACAAATTCACAATGGACGAAAGCTGTGGTTGTCTTACTTTGTCGTAATTCACGTTGCCACTATCTTCCATCGTGTCGTTTTCAGATATAATCAAATTTTCTCTAATTCGCGTTAGAGACAACTTTAATTTCGGACTGTACAACGAGTCGCTGTTGATTTGCTGGAAAAAAAATAAGAAGCAAACGCATATTTTAAAAAATCACACGCTTCAACAAGCGAAGATAATTTATTCGTAAAATATGTAAATGACGCATCACAACTTACGAGATCCGACGTAAAGAACAAATGTACCGTGTAGAAGCATAGCTCGAAAAATTGTATCATGCTCTGTATAACGGTGACCGCGATTGATCGCAAAAGTCTCGACATCTGTAGATACTTGCCGCACACTCTCAACACGCTCAACGTCGTATTTGTGACCATAGGTCCGGATTGTTTGAGTTTGCACTTTTTTTTATTGGTTTTCACGTGATCCGGCTCGTCTACGTATTCGCGCTTCAATTCGTCGGGGATGTCGTCGTCGGACTCGTCCGAAAAATATTCATGATGATCAACCTGCCATCAGAATACAGTAAACATCAGTATTGGCTACCATTTGTTCCGATTGAGTGTGTTAAAATATTATTTTAACACGTTGACTGCCACGGGGGGGTCACCGGCGCTCGACTTGGCTAAAGCGCCGTGGGGGCCACCGGTGACCTCCAGCACGAAAAATGCTTCAAGCGTGATTTTATAACTCACTTTACTCGCTGCAAATAATATTTCGACGTAATACGCATCGCATAATGAAAAGATTCACGTTGGCGCCTTGGGCCAAACCGTGCGTCTGGCAGTCAACGTGTTAAGAAAAGGAAACTGCGAGTTATTTAAAAGGTTTGTGTCATTACATTGTCATTGATTAAAATATCCTCGTCTATGGTATCGTCCAATCCTATTGTGAACGGCGACAAGCCACCTTCGAAATATTTCTGCATATCGATCCCCGTGGAATTGTCGCTGTCGCTCAAGTTCGAACTGTCCAGACTGTTCCACGCTTTGCAGTTGTTGAGCGAAGGCTTGAGACTTCGAAATTCTTGCAACTGGGTGGCCACGAAATTAGATTTCACGGGACACAATTCCCAACCGTCGTTCTCCAAAAATATCCTCAACTCGTCCAAACGAGACGCGTGATGATGAAAAAAGTAAGACAGGGATTGTTTCTTGATGGAATCCTGCAGATCCTTCGACTTGAATCCACATAGTTCTTCCCCGATTTCCATCAATCTGTTAACCACACCCAACACTTGAACGAAATGTTCGAACTTCGTGAATGTTAAATCGATATTCGACAGATACGTAGATATCTTCATTTCCACGTCGTGCCACATTCGTACCGTGCCCTTCTCCAATTTGTGCTTGACGTATTGCTTGCTGAAAGTTATCTCCAAGTCTTTAACAACGTCCGTTTTACAATCCGCTTTGTCATCATGCGCGTTGTGCCAATTTACAACTAGATAATAGGAGCTCATTATTGTCCAGAGCGATTTGCAGAGCTCGGTAAGGCAATCGACACATTTTTCGCGGGGTACAGACTGGCACAATTGTTTATATTGTTTTTTCACATCGTCTCCCGCGAAAGAGTGAATAACGGCAAACGCGGTGTTGTGAATGGCAGCTGTAAAATCCATGTGCAATTGATCTATGGCAAACTGAGTCTTTCCCAACAACGCGTACGCTTCTTGAACCGAAGAATAAACCGCTACGTCGAATTGCGTGCACATCTTAGATAGCGTACATCTTAGAACCTCCTCCGCTTGCTCCAAAATATCTTGCAATTTTTTGTTCAGTTCGGCGATACAGTGAAAATGTTTGTAAGTTTTGGCAGCGCTTTGACATTCCAAAAGAAGCGATATGGCCCCGGGATAATTTTCTTCCTTCAAAAGCTCCTGCAGACGATCTCCCGTACGTTGCTGACAACAGTAATTACACTTATATTAACCTTTTCGCTCCGGGACTGGTCCATATATGGACCAGCAAGAAAAGCAAACGTAATAGATGTTTATAAGGTCAATTTAATGCACTAAATTTAGGAAAAAAATTGAAAAAAATCCTGGTTACTTCTTTGACCTTCAAAATTAACTTTGAAGGGGGGGGGGGTAGCAGGTTATTATTAACTTTTTCAGCTAAAATGCGAGGACAATTTTAAAGGAAAAATCCCCGGAGCGAAAAGGTTAAAGAAAGTCTGATAAGACGAGGCGCAAATATAAAATTTCTTTTCGCAGAACAAGATATCGCGATGCAAAACCTCTTACCAGTGTCTTTATGGTATTTAAATTGTTCAACAGTTCTTGGACCACTTGTCGTTTTCGATAATTGGCCAGTATCCCCAAGCTTGCCGTTGTGAACTGTCTCTTAGCCGATTGAAGATCCGCTCTTCCTATTCTACATATTTCCAGAACGTCTTGCAACTGCTGTTCCAGCAGTTGAATCTTCTCAACCTCCGAATTGCAAGCGCTCTGCTTTTCCGAAATAACATTGTAAACTTTGGTCGAGACAACCTGATGTTGTTGCTTGAGTTTTTTATAACGTTTCTCTATCTCTTTGGAAAGCAGTGTTGTTGGCAATTTCTCTAATTCGTAGCGAGGCGAATCAAAACCACCGTCGATAGTTAGATAAATCTTTTCAATTGATTCCAATATATCTTGGTCGGTTTTGGTTTCACTTTCCGTGGATTGATCGGCCTCCGAACGAAGATCCTCACATTTTTGCAAATCGGGAGGATTGAGCAGATCAGGATTCAGACCCATAAGTGGTACCATGGATGTATTCTAAAAGAATTTATATATATTTATTATATATTTATATATAATAATTTATATATTTATAAGAACAGGAAAAAAATATCATGGCCCTTTGAAGCAAAAAAACAGTACTTTTATTTAAACCGTTGTACACTTCTGTCGGTTCTNAGTTACTTTTGTATCACCAAACTGTAATCATGTGACTCGCGATTAAGTTTTTTGTCAAGAACAACATTATTATATATATACATTGATAAAGGCCTAATCAAAGGCTGAAAACGTTTTATATTATACACATTACACGCTTTGAATAAAATAACGTTACTATCACACACACATTTTCACCTGTGTTTTTTGCTTCAAAGGGCCATGATGTTTTTCCTGTTCTTATAAGAATTTTTGAAGCGTTTCTATACTCCTTTTCAATTTATATATTTATTATATTTTTTATATTATATTTTTTATATTACATTTTGATGGATCAGGTTTTCTTCAACGATAAAAGAATTATTTTAAGAACCAATTGTTGCATAACCTGATCAATAATATTCATATGCAAATAAAAACTTTGCGTGGAATGACTGAATCGTGTGTGGAATCGACCTCGTTTTTTTATTTCGACACAAATAAATCAAAAAATGTTGTTCTTCGAATCAAACAAAGTTTTCTCTTTGAAGGACCGTCTCAAATTCGCGCAACGTGATTTTTGACAGCGGAATGTTGCAAATCGCACATAACCTAACTTCCGCGCGACAACAACGCGAATAAATTTAAAAGCGTCTTTAAAAAACCAAGCGCAAAACAATTAATTCGTATCGCAACAAATCTCGAACTTGCCTGTTTGTTAATAAGGCCGAGAAATTTGAGCTTCAAATCCTCCATAATGTCAGATTGCATTGTGTGACAATCAAAATCAAACGCGCATTCTCATCTGTTTACACGACCGCAAACTCCGCGTCCGACAACGACGTGCCTCGCGTGACGTGTCCGAGATGCGGGAGCGGCATAACAATCCCGATCGAGCATCGTTGATCAAATTATCTCGCGTTCGATCGCGCTAATCGCGAGAAGGTTCGATTAACATTGTTTTTTTTTTTTTTTTTTTGGTTTTTAAATTTGGTTTTGTTTTTACGAGCAATCAAAGAGCAGCGGACAAACGGCAGCGGTTGACGAAAAAATGGCATCCATGATTGAGTTTTAATCACTTTGAAGTTGGTCGAGTTTCCGCGCGTTTCGATATTTTCGCGAACGCGAATAAGTTGATCTCTCGAAGAATCTCGCAAACGCGTTTGCACACACGCCGCTACGTTCAGATAAGTAGCGTGCGCGGAATCGGAGTCGCGGCGAATCCTCGAATTGTGCGTGTTTTTTTTTGATTTTTATAAATAAAAAAATTAGAAGAAAAAATCTATAATCGCGCGCGATTATTTGTGTTGTTTCCGCGTTAACGGAGGAACGGAAGAGAACAAGAGCTACGTACGTATTTTCTGCGCACGCAATGTGAAATAAATTGCACAATTGCGGTATTTGAAATTAATTAATATTGTGTGGTTATCAATTGTTGATTGTCGGAATATTGCAAACAAGTAGTCGTTTGTTTTCAATTTGGAAAACAATTTGTATTCGATATAACTTCGTTATACGATAAAACGTTTGTCTTAGGTCTCTTTTGTACATTACAGAAGTAATTATATACATATATATATATATATGTATATAAATATAAATATAT